GTCGTGCGATATATGAGCATCGCCGCGGAAAAGAAGCAAAAAAGGAAGAGTCTCGCGGACAGAGACGTCGACGTGAGATGCGAGAATAAGTGGAATTCCGACAACATCCACATAACATGCAATCCCCTGTCGACGCCTTATCCGTACTCGACACCGGCGGCGACCACCACGACGACAACCACCACCGTCACCACCACCAGCAAGACGACGGCAACGATGGTAGAAAGTGATGAGGAGCCGAAAAGTCGCAGCTGCGGCAGCTTCCTACCGATACTCGCCCTGATCCCGCACTCGGTCATCAGCTTCCAATATCTCAGCCCGAAGATGAAGTTCTCGTGGTGGCGAAACAAGATCTCGTGAAGGCACGCGTAGACGCCCATCGTCGTCGCTGTCGACGTTGTGCGTTGCGACGCCACCCCGACTTGTTTTAGAGGAGACACACCTCTCTTACCTCGTAGCGAGCTCTCTTTCTCTCTTCGCTTATATACATATGTATTTCTCTCTCTCTCTCTCTCTCTCTTTCTCTCAATTTCTATGTATCTTACTTCCGGCCAGTCTTCATCAATTAGAGGAATCCCATTGTTATTTCACAAATCTCGTATTGTCGAAAAAATGCATACCTCGTTAAAAGCATTGCATGCGTATTCGCGATAGTCCTCTGAATTTCCGCGCGTAGTCATGAGGTTTGGTTCCACAAAATATTCTCGAACATTTGAACATAATGCGAAGACGTGACTATTCAAGGTCCAAAGATTCATGACTTAATAATCATGAGATCACAATAAGCGAAATTTAAGATCGGAGGAACCAAACTGACTTTCTATAGGAAACGCTATAACTTTTATAACAACACTCTCCTAGTTCTTTCAACTCGCCGAAGAAAAAATGTACAGTGTTTATTACATGCACACGGCATTTTTGACACGTCGTCGGATCCTCTAGTCGATTAAAGTTCCTTCTCATACGACGCGCTTTTGACTTGATATTTTTTTTTCTCGAAAATCTGCTCGGGGAAAAAACGTATTCAGTCCCCATAGTCTGCTCTAAGAGAGCAACCTAGCAAATATCCAAACATTCTGGAATCCAAATTCTGCGCCACTTCAGACCAAGCAGTGCTTGATGATACAAGTATTTTACATCTATTGTTCCTTCTTTTTTTTCTCACTTCTCATCTCGAAGATATAGAATTATTCCAAGATCCTAGAATACCTAAGTGAGACGCAAAAATTCTCTGTAAGAATCTAATCCAAAAATCTAAAGACCGTAGAACCTAAGGATCCACAGTTCCTAGAATCTAACACCTAATTATCCAAAGACCCTAGACTCTAAGTACGCAAAGATCCTAGAACATAAGAATTCAAAGATTCTTAAAATTTAAGGAGACACTTCAACGTTGTTAGAGCATAAGGATCCAGGCTATTTCACGAGAATGCGAGATCCAAGATAAAATCGAGCATTCTCGAAGATTCTAGAATGTAAGGATTCAAAAGAGACATATAAAATCTAAGTGTTAAAAACTAATCTATAACGTGCTCTTTGCTTTCTGATTTGTGGTTTTTATCTCTTGCCTTTGGCCTCCTGTTTCTTCGTTTTTTGTCGTCCAAGATAAAAATTGATGAACTCCGAAAGAAAACAAGAAGCGATTGTTGATTCAAAAGTCGAGAAGAGGATAAGAAGTAAAAATCAAGTGAAACAGAAAGCACATTGTAAATTAGCTTTAACAATCTGACATAACAATATATCCCCCCTCGCCCCCCCTCCCGATTAAATGAATTTTTCTTTGGCGAATTTTATTAATCATAGACGAGCATCATTGCGGGCAATTATTATTGCTGAAATATACAGCCGAGAATATATGCATAAAAAAAGAAGAACGCGTCGAGAAAGTTACGTTACATTATGATTAAAATAGAGAGAAGAAATAGTTAGATGACTGATTTCTGAATTTCTCCGTTAAGAGAAGTTGAGACACGCTGGAAGATGATAAAAAGACATTAGTCTATTTTGTTACATTGTACGTATCATCATCAATGTCGCGTGAAAGTCACGCGAGTGAAGGGCGAGGATCGATCTCATCACCGATCATCCTTGTGATCAGGAACGTAAGAGTTATCTGTTTAGTCGAGAGACCGTGCATCGCGATGTAAGATCTTGAAAACTTTCTATTTTTTCACAAGCATTTTATCTTTCTTGGTACAAAGATAAAATGACACTCGTATCGACTTGTGGTTATTAAATAGAAAGCATTCCTTAGTAATTGTCAGGCGATGAACGGTAGAATGATATCAACGCACGACTTTTTTTTATTTCTTTCTCTTTTCGCTAAACGTTAGTCGTAGCTAATAATAAATATCCTCATTTTTTTAAACGAGAAGAGACGAACTGCGTACAGAAAATTTGTTTTGTTTTTGAATTGACCCGACTGTTGCAGATTAGATCGGCTACCGATGGACTCGTTTCTCGCTATAGTTCTTTTAATTGGTGATAGGTTCCTTATCTTTTTTTTTTTTACGGAATCGACAGTGATACGTTACTATTGCTACAACGAAGATTCGTAGAACAACAATTTCGTCTCCTATGTTTTCCCATTTCAATAAAATTATTTTCGTAAACATTTATCTTCCGTAGTATCTTTTATTTTTATTGAGTTTTCTTTTTTCCTGCTTCGTTAATTTATTTAAAAGCTCCTCATACGCACGCAGAGTCGCTCGAACAATCTTGAAATTCTTTGTCTTATTTTTCCTACTTCTATTTTATTTTAAAGATCATGTCATTGAAATAATTAATTTCTCGAGTTACGTCGCACACTCGTCAATTTACACATGATTGAAGTGAGAATATTGCAAATATTGCAATAGTGCAAGTATTAATGTTATATCTTATTTAACTATTTTCTTAAAACGTTATACTTTGCAATTCTTTTTTACGAATTTGACTTTATTATTTTCTATAATATATTTTATATTAATAACAGTTTTCTCGTCCCTTTTTGTCATTAATCATTAGATTCAATGACTTCTATTACATAAATGAATAATAAGATCAATCGATGTGCGATAATAAGATAACGCGGTTAACGAGAGAGTACAAATAATTAATCAATATAAAGAATTTTAATCGATAGCGATGTCGACAGGATAGAAAGAGAAAAAAAAGGAATATGTTGTAACACATCGTGGAGTGTTACTCTCAGAAGCATTACTATTCGTTGCTAATAGATCACTGTTGCATGCTAAAGTAAATAAATTTTTGTGTAAAATATATCTATGAAATAAAGATTATATTTAGTCATGAAAGTGTTATGCAATTTATTGCTAGCCTTTATTCCCTACGTAAATTGACATTGACTTTATCTCTTCAAAGTTCTTAACTTTTTCAACAGTTAAAATTTTTCTTTATATTCTAACATACATTATATATACATATATATACATATATATATATCTTCCTTCCTTATACACGAAAAGAGAAATATATAAGCTATATTCAGTAGAGAAAGCAGCTTTGCAACTGTTATAAAGTTTTTTTAATACGTTTGATTTATATGTTTAGATCCAATGAGGAACTAAGAACAAAACCAATCACAGTATAGAATCTTACTACTATTGTAAAGCTGTTTTATCTGTTAAATGCAACCATGTATTTCTCACTTTGTTCTGTTTTATTTGATATCCCTAAATTTGTGCGACGAGAAAATTATGAGACATTTTTTAGAGGTTCATTTTCATCTCTTCATATAGGACATCAGAGGGCGATCCATCACTGTCGTTAAATCGTGGCGTCCACCAATTCTGTGTGCTCGCGTTGATTGAAACGCACACGCATCCCACCGAACACGGCGTTAAATCTGGATCGAAAGCCCTGGTGAGCACTGCGCTCCATTTCCGTGCACTCCTTCGCTATCGCGGACGTATCTTTCTCGTGTTCGTTTCGGATTCTGTCCAAAGCTGCGATGCGAAGAGCAAGTTAAGCTTCCAGTATTCTAAAACATCTTCTGAGAAGTTACATCAAGATGAAAAAGAAAGGTAGCATATATGAGCCAAGTTGAAGAATACTTATCCTGATAAAAAAAGAGAGCATATCATAAAATAAATACCTTCTCTCTTATCTTTATAGGAATCCCTAAAATATGAATCAAACAAACAAGCTTTTCTCCGCAGAAGTAATTCTTTTTATCTTTTTCATTTTTTTTTATTTAGCGAATTTTACGACATTTATTCTGTCATATTTATTGCCTTTCTTCCTTTCCTCTTGATTAACTAAATCACACCGAGTCTTCATAGCTATCAATCTCCGAAGCGGTAGTTGCGTCGTTACCTTTCTGCAGATTCATCTCGTCCATCTCCGTGTTGCTGATCTTCGAGAGCTCAGTCCGAAAACTCTTGGTGATTTTCTTGCGAATGTAATCCGCCTCGATCTCCTGCTTTGTTCTGGGCACGCGGAAGCGAATGCAACAGCACAACCCGACGACGATGCTTAGCAGAACGGAGAGAACGATGCCAGCAAGCTGCCAGATGCGAAAGCCCGGTAATGCCTCGTTCTCCAGCCACTGCACCATTTCCATTTCCTCCATGTCCTTCGTAGAGACTTCATTCGGTGAGCTGGAAGACACGGACAAAAACGTTGACAGCGTTGTCTCCTCCATCGCGCTGTAATGAACGTTTAAATTCCCAAAGGTATCCCAAACAAGACTCTAGATATCTGATATGAGACTCGGATCTGATATGATCCTCTTGTTCGCAATGTCGGATCTTATCCAAGAAGATAGGATCTTCTGTAATAATCGATTTTAGTTAATTAATATAAACGTTGTTTCGTCGGCCGTATTGTCTGACGCACTAATCCTCGGCAAGATACTTCTGACTGCAGGAAAAATACATGGCTATACCGAAGAGTTAGTTGGGTGTGGTTGCTTAATTGGATCTGTTCCGACACTCCCTATTTTACGCCACTTACTGATTACAGATCAATACTACAGGTGTGGGAGTATATTTTGTAGATTGTTAATGTTGTTTTATTATCTCTCACAATAATCGGATGTATAGTCATTATGTAGACGATAAAAATATCGAAAAAGGGAACAATTGCGCTATTATTTAACAATACTTATCCGCTCGACAATCCGCTTATCGAATCGAAATGCAATGTGAAATTGTTAATCTATCTTTCCTTCAATGATTTTTTTTTATTTCAGTTACTTCTGGCGATTCAAATGTTGCTCTAAAAATTTCGCGACAAAATATAAATCACAGACTTAATGGATTGAGAGTTTAAACATATTTTAACTTTTTTTTTAAGAATATTTCGTGATTTCATCTAAGAGATATCATCATAACGCTAATCTGTATTCGATGTATTCGTCCAAAATAGACATAGTTCAGAATGTCGTAACATATAATAAATTGTTTGAAGTAACAACTAGTGTAATATATAACTGAATACGAATTTCTTGAAGCGGCACCATATTTGAACCTTAAATCACTGTAAAAATCGGTAAAACGTTTCGCAACGAGCGATATTCTTCGCAATAGCAGTAACTGTCAACCATTAGTACACAGATGCAACTCCAGCGTCTTCAAATATCCTTTTCTGGATAATCGAGACATAGTCGTGTGATCCGGCACAAATTTCCGATTCTCCTTTTCCATTTTCTTCCTTAATCGTTTAACGCGGCTTTTAACTACGTCTTTCCGAAATATTGGGCACTGTTCGAGAAAGGTTGAAACTCAAAGCACTTAGCTCGCTGAATCGAAGGATATCTTCGCAGGAAATCTCGTTCTTAAGACGTTTCAGACCACACTAGCCGCGCAATAATCCTTTGCCCTCTTTTCTTGAAAAGTGTTAATACTTTCGCTCCTACGGCACGTTCATTCTTTCCTGATGAATGTCCGTCCCCTGAAAAAAATTACAAGTAAATTAAACAAATAAATTATACAATAAATTTGACAATAGAATATTGTATTAAATTATAAACGTATAAGAAAAAATTTTGCAATTGATTTAAAAGATCTAAAAACAAAGTTAATATGAGGAAATTGCAATAACGCAATGAAAAATTTACAAAGATATTATTTCAAGAATTACAAAGAAATTATTTCAATTATTTTATCTAATAATTTCTTGAATATTTTAAAGTAGCTTATATTTGGATTAATTAAGATTAACAGTTTATTTTTATTATAATTTATTCTGTAATGTTTTGCGAGACTAACAGAGATAAAAACTTACGTGATAGTCTTCTTCTCAGTGTTTTTGGATTGAGATCGCGCTCTATTTAACACCTTGAGAAAATCTGTTGTCTTAGTACGCATTCTCGAGTGAATGTAAACTTTACTGCACTTGATATGATAGTGCAAATAATTCCTAAACATGTGTATCAGGTCGATAGTGTTATCGCGAGCTTCTCGATTGGTATGACGTGGAAACAATACTGTAAAAATATAAAATAAACCGATATAAGTTTAAAAAAGTAAGTAGTTTAAAAAAGTTTAAAAAAGTAATATTACACAAATCTATCGTATGTTCAACTTGAAATATTTAGATGGTAGAAAATGTTACACAAATATGCATCAGTAATATTCGTAACATTTCTCTCAGATAATCTTCAAAACAATTCCTTAAAATTTAAAGATTTGCTAATAAAGTTGCACAAATATTAAATTATCTTTAATATAAAACGTATAATTTAAATCTGAAAGTTTTCTAACAGAAGATTTTTCTTTTTCATTTTTTTTTATACAAATAAATAAAAGAAGATTTACTGTAACATCGCGTTGATGCGATTTATTGAGTGCAAACAATATAAATATAAATTTTAAAGTTTCTTCACCGAATGTGATGTAGCCAATGCAATCTCCGACCGCCGCCTCGGAATCTTGCAATTCCAACGGCGGTTCACGATGATTGAACAAGACTTGCGGAGCAGTGTGGCTCGCGCGCCTGCCTTCTTTCAGTTCTTGAAGAAACAATTTACCAATAACCATGTCGTCCTCGTCCTTGAATATTGTACTGAACACTACAGTGACCCTGTCGCTCTTAGCCTCCACGTACCTTGATGAGAATTAATCAGAGTTAATAATAATGAAATAAATAATTATAAAATTTACACAACAATATTATTAGACATCAAAATTTGCTTAGATCGAATGAGGCTCTCTCTTCGCTTACGTGTTAATCATACCAATTTTTCACTTATTCATTGTTAAAAATAATAGAAATAACAATTAAGTCGTGTCAAATACATAGAGACGTATGCCTACTGAAAAAACATGTATACACATAGTATTGATGAAATTATATAATTAAAACACGTAAATCATGTAATGGATTGTCCCAAATCAGTATATGATTTTTTAAACTACGTAATTTGAAAAGTCATATGACATGTTCTTTTTTCTTCTATTTCTATCATTCAATTCTTTAAAATTTGACAACTATAAAATCACATGACGAATAAAATTATTTCTAATATCATATTTTTCAATATCATATTTTACGTCATTTTAAAAAATCACATACTGGAACAATTTGTTACATGATTTACATGTTTTAATTACACGATCATGTAACGTTGTGACATAATTTTTTTCAGTAGGGAGTTCTTACATTGTTTCCTCATCTCGATATTGGATTACAGCTCTCTTCTGTACTGGCCTGCCTGGAGAATCGCAGTATTCTTCCTGGAAGTCAAAGTATTTCTCGAAGACACTAGCGAAGCAATGCCTCTTCAACAGGGCAACTTTCCTCACTAACGCCTCCCAATCCTCTGGTAATTTCTCTAGATCTATGAGAACTGATACGTTATAACCTGTAACAACGGTAAACAATGTCAAGCGGTTTATTACATTCGTCCAGAAGTTGGAAAATGATTAAAATCAGGAATCTAACTGCTCTCCGGTGCAATAAGATGAGCTCCATACTCTCGTTTGAGCAACTCGTCTGCGCCATGCTCTTGCAACTGTTTATAAAATTTGAGCAATATACTAATCTGCAAAAAAGGACGAATATTAGAAAATTAGTTTTTAAATGTTAAAAACGAAAAATAAGTGTGTCCACTTACTCTAAGCTTCGACTTGTCTCCACTGAGGTTTGAAATATGAAACAATACCCCATCAAAGTCTGCTATGACTACGTCCGTCGATTCCTGCTTATGTCTACAAACAAAAGGTCGCTAATCATAAAAACTGTCAATTTGACAAGACTTTACAACTACAGCAGATCTGGATGAGCCAAGGGAGTAAAAGCTGAGAAAAATATGAGAACAATTCTAGAACTTCACAAAGATAACACACAAATATAGATTACAAGTTAAAAAAAATACTAAAAATAAAATTTTAGAGATAACATTTTAAAACAGAAAATAACGCAAAGCAAAGTTCAAAGAAGTTTATAATAGAAGAGATAATGAGAAGACAAATAAAAAAGCCAAAAATCTTTTAACATTTCTCATCACTCCAAGGGATGTGTTAAAGACGTCGTTCAAGAATGTCCTAGGGACGCATCCCTCTAATAAAGTGTGCCACGTGAATTAGAAAAACGAGGGTTCGTAAATATAGTAAATCCGGATGGGTTTCAGCTTAAAGAAGCTGAAAGAAATATTTGGAGTAAAATATGAATGAGATCTCGAGGCGGAGGAATGAGGTAAGATGAGATGAACGCAGCCAAGAACGGAGAAAACGGAGAAAGAAGGGGAATTGAAAGGGAAGAAAGTTGAGATTTGACGAATCTTTTGAAATAGGAATTTCTCGTGGAGAAACGGACGCGGCACCGCCCCGGCGCCACGTCTTGCGGATTGAGGTTAGGATACGCGGTGATCGAGACGGGCACCGGGATTCCCGACAGGACCGCACGACACGCAAGACGCTTACCCCGATAGGGCATTCTTGATTTTATTCGTCAACGTTTCCTCGAGTATCCTGTTGTGTATCTCGAGCAGGATCATGATTACTACGTCTGGCAGGAAGAGTCGATACGTGATACGTGGCGATAACGATAACCCCCGGATAGATCCCGCAAAACCGCGACGGATTTGTCATCCGTACGTATGTATGTAACGCCGTTGACTAATGCCCGCTGCCCGCCCAATCCCTCGCACTCTGTCGGTATAACAGATAACAAATATACCGCTCGTTACTGTCGGTAAAGCAGATTTTGCACTCTTGAAGAAGATCAATCTTTATTTATTTTAGATCGAATTAATACTTATCAATTTAATATGAAGAAAGATATATTGAAAGAGAAGTTAATAGTTATTAATTACTTATTTTAAGTACTAAAAGTTTACACTGTTGTTTAGAGTTTAATAAAAAATTAATCATTATCTTCCAAGATTAATCCTTTCATACCTGATTTTATTGGAACCATGTTAAAATAATTTTTTTTAATTCAATTCAAAGCATTTTAATTGTAACTTCAATTGTACTTTTAATATTCAAAATAAGTGATTAATAGGTTAATACTAAAATTATATTTATTTCTATAAAGGTAGTTATTTATTTTATAAACTTACGGCATAAAGTTATTTTTTTTATAAATTCTACATCACAAAGTTGCAGTATCTGCATTGCTGCAACATTGCATGTTACAGCAATATTACAGAGATTTTGCAGCGATATTGCTGTAAATTCTGTGCCGTGTAGGAAGTATTTCTCCCATATATTGATTATCTAAGAAAAAGCTAGAGATTGTTTCTTGTTATCGAATTAATTGGACGCTGATTAGATTTTTATAATTTCTTTATTGCAAAATGGTACAAAATTTTCTATTTTTTGAGACTGTCAGAAGTACATTTAGAGCAAAAATAAAACAAAATACGAGTTTATTTAGTAAAAAGTCGGAAATAAAAACAAATTCTTTGTACTACCCGAGTTTATTACGTAACAAAAAAATTAAAATGTAAAAAAAATATATTGGATCAGTGCAAAAGTTCGTGCCCGATTTGTAAATAAAAGTCAAGCAGTTATTGATATAAAAAACCCACCTTTATTGATCAATGTATTCGCCACCATTTTCGACAATCATTTTCCAACGTTCAACTAATTTATGGATACATTTGAAAAAATTGCGTGGTTTTGCGTCAAAGAATGCGATGAAGTGATTTTTGACAGCCTCCACAAAATCGAAATTCTGGCCAATTAATCGTTTTGTAATGACCGAAACAAATAAAAATCGGAGAGTACGATGTCCGGAAAATATGGTGGATGCAATAAAATTTCCCATTTCAATTGTTTCAATTTGTCGAAAGTCATTTTCGAAGAGTACGGTCTTGTCATGATGGAAGATGACGCCTCTACGAACCAAGATCAGGCATTTTTTTTTTTATTAATGCGTCCACTTTGGTTAGTTGTTGGCAGTACTTTTTTGAATCAATCGTTTGGCCAACAGGAAGGTGGAACTCAAAATATATAATACCTTAGCAACCCCATCAAACGCATAGCAAGATCTTTTCCGGCAACTCAGCTTTAGCGATTGAATTTGCCGGTTCATTTGCTTCCTTCCAAGTACGCTTGCGTTTGACATTGGTATACAGAACCCATTTTTCGTCAGCCACCAAACGATCCAAAAGAACCTCTTTTTCCAGGCGTCTGAGCATAGAAATGGCTACGGAAATGTAGTCTAACTTATTTTTTTCGAACAATGAATGCGGTATCCAAGTGTTGAGCTTCTAAATGAGTCCCTTAAACTCCGACCCTTAATCTTCTTTAAACTCCGACACGCGGTTGATCGATCGATGTTCAGAACTTCAGCAACCTCTTCGAAATGCGTACATTGTTTGCTATTAATGGCATCGTCACCGATGACGGAAGGAGGAGATTCGTCTTCGAGATTAAAATCACCACGACGAAATCTAGCAAACCACTTCTTCATCGTTCGAAAGGCTGGTGGGGCTGGTGCACCATCCAAATAAACTTCCTGAATATTTTTTCCGTATTGCTAACGGTTGTTCCTTTCCGAAACTCCCCAACAAACGAGAATGGATTGAAATGAATTCAGATTTTCAGAAATATTGATTCACGAATGTTAAAATGAATGTTTTTCAATCCTGAATGCATTTTTATTCATTTATAGGAATTGCATGGAGCATATCTCTACGTCTTTCAATCTAAAAATTAGCTTTTTCTGTGCATTGTGAATACTGTTCAATTCAAAATTTTGAATAGGAAATGTAGTTTTTCAATCCAATTGCATCCAATTGAATCTAATTGAATCCAATTGAATCGAATTAAATAAAAAAAAAGTATTCGCTATTTAAAATACGCATTCGGATAGAAAAAAATTTCAATCCATTTTAATCCATTCTCGTTTGTTGGGTCTTAAAGCGTCACATGTCGAAAATGCAAGATTTCTCCTTATCCATCTTCAATGATTTTTTTTCACGACTTAAATTCAACCAAATCAACGACTATTATCTCGTCGGTGACCAAATCAAACACTTCTGATGCTCAAATATCACTTATGATTGTTATTTTTCCAAACGATATATAATATGCATACATAAACAACAACAGAGTCGCCATGCTACTTCATCAGTTTAAGCTTATACGAATTGGGCACGAATTTTGCACTGATCTATACATAGTGTCCCATAATGATTAATTAATATTTTAGGGAGTGAACAAGGATGAAGTTTTGAACTAAAAGTTCCTTTACCTCATTTCCTTTGCACTAAATTTTGACCATATTTATTTACAATTATTACTATTTATTGATTTATTGATTTGTTAATATACAAAATTAGAATAAAGTTTCAAAAAAAAAGGATAATGCATAGCAAACGCGAGGAATCCCATAGCGTACTACGCTCCTGCATACTCTGGCTGCGTGCCATCTGATTGATCAACTGTAATCGTTAATTCGATAAGTAATTGTCTGAGCCAAAAAAGGAACTTTTAGTTCAAAATTTCATCCTTGTTCACTCTCCGAAATATTAAACCTTACTGTATAAGTATTGGTCACTAGTGACCGAACGATTCCTGTTCGTGCAAGTTTCTTTAAATTTTTCGATAATTGTAAATTAGATATACTACATTTTATTATTTTTCAAAATAAAGTTCAATATTTATTCTAGAAAGTTGAAAGATGTTGGTGGATGTTGGTGAATTTTTAGATATTTTTTAAATCATTCTGAATAGATGAAAAAAACGGACGGATCTATAATAATGACTCATACTTGTATAGATAAGACACCAAATTATATCTTGTACGGTATCTGTAAGGGTTAATTAATCGTTATGGGACACTCTGTATACAATTGTAAATATAAGTAAGTAATAAAATAAAATTATAGTGTTATCTAAAATATTAAAAATATTTAATTATTAATATTTTGTAGTAAAGATTCAGATTTATAAAAAAAAAAACCAATCTGCGCGTACTTATATTATCATATTTTAAAAAGCTTAAATTATCTTGGCGGAAAAATTTTACGAAAAACATAGATTGAGACTTGACACAAGATCTTAGAAATGTAATATAATATAGAGTGTCGAAGGCGAAGGATTTCTTGGTTTTTTTAAATAATTAACGCCACTTTACGTTTCACTACGAATATCTGAGAAAAACTAAGAATTTCTAAGACAAACAAACCTCACTCTACATTCTACTACAAATATCTAAGAAAAATTAAGAATTTCTAAAATCTTGTTCCAATCTATGTAGTTTTTCCGTACTTTTTTATAAACATTTTTTTTCCAGAGTAATAAGTGAGATATTGTTTATTAATTGAATCTTATTAATTTATTCTGAAGTCATATTATTAGGTGTTGGAATTAATTCGTAGCGTTTTTAATGAAAGAATGTTATTTATTTCACATGAGCATTAAAAAATACATTAATGAAAGTACTTCCCATCACTTGTAAAACGCTACGAATTAATTCCAACACCTAATATATAATCCACGTTGTATAATTTCAATAATGCTTGTTTAGCCATTTTTATCTTTGCATCCTTTATTTTTGCAGCTGGAAAATAAAAATGGTTATTTATATATGTATAATAATTTCAAAATATTTTATGATAATTCGTAAAATATATACGTACCTGTTCCTGAAAATTCCATTCCATTAATTTTAGTAGTTATAGTAAATATCTCATGTGGTATTTTATTAATACGATTCACAATATATATTAGATTAGGATGCATACGATTCAGTAATTCAACTAGATTTTTTGTAGGATTACGGATCTGAAGATTTTTGATTGTCTCTTGACAAACTTCGTTCCGAGTTTTAATATTTTCATCAATAGAATTCGATGTTCTCTCATTATTCCAATCAAGTATAAGTTTATAAAGTGCAAAATTGGCGAATGCATTCCATGAAATCTCATCTTTAGCACTCATGACTATGGCGTTTTGTGCATCAATCTTTTCTTTGTTTTTATCCACAGATGAATTAGCAGCTTGTGTATCGGATTGAAATGTACATGTTTTAGATTTTGTTACCATTTTGTCAAAAAATACATCTTTTAATATCTTTTCAGCTATATCTTCACGAGCAAGTGATTTAGATAGTCCTTTTCCATAATAATGTTTACCATTAAACTGTAAATAAATGTTATTAAAGCATTAGTGGCTGATTTACATCACCCTTGAATATTATTAAAGCACATTGAAGATAAGATGACATGCAGCATAATATTATAAATAATATTTCTCTAATATTGTAAGAATTATAATAAATTATTAATTAAAATAACAAAATAATTACCTTAGCATGAGCGGTAAAACACGATTTTGTAAGCATCTCAAATTTTATTTCTTCAGAGTTCCATCCATATAAAGTTTTAGCTTTTATTACACATAATACCATGTATGCATTTTTGGGTTGTAGAGGTTTCGTTAGTTTTACTTCTAGACGATGTAATCTGTTATAAATGACTTTAACAAAAAAATCGTCACATCAATATGTTACCATATATGTATATAATATTACATAAACAATTACAATTTATTTTATATATTAATAAAAAAATTGATTACGAGAGTCTCGAACCATGAACATTCAATGCTTCTAAATCTTCAAATTTGTGAAATATCATCCTCAAAAGGAAAAGATTTAATTTCATATTACGAATATTGCTACAATTCTTTTCTTTTATATGTATTCTTAAATTCTTTTTTATATAAATTCTTCAATTTATTTATTCTTATATATAATATATAGATAATATTAGGTGTAGTAAAAAGAAATCCATTATTTTTACTACACCTAATAGTTATACTTCACAAGATTTTTAAACATATGATTGTAAAGATGTATGTGAAATAATGTTTAAAAAATTATGAAAATCTATGAGTGAAACTATTTATATGTATTAATTACTTACATTAATTATTTAGAATATTAGCATATATACAGGAGATATATATTAATAAAAAAATTGATTACGAGAGTCTCGAACCATGAACATTCAATGCTTCTAAATCTTCAAATTTGTGAAATATCATCCTCAAAAGGAAAAGATTTAATTTCATATTACGAATATTGCTACAATTCTTTTCTTTTATATGTATTCTTAAATTCTTTTTTATATAAATTCTTCAATTTATTTATTCTTATATATAATATATAGATAATATTAGGTGTAGTAAAAAGAAATCCATTATTTTTACTACACCTAATAGTTATACTTCACAAGATTTTTAAACATATGATTGTAAAGATGTATGTGAAATAATGTTTAAAAAATTATGAAAATCTATGAGTGAAACTATTTATATGTATTAATTACTTACATTAATTATTTAGAATATTAGCATATATACAGGAGAATTACGTGTCTCTATTGTATACTCTTATTATTTAAATTGTCTTAAATATTTAAATTATGATCCTAGAGATTAAAAAGATATAATATATTTTTATAATCTTTAATTTAAAAATACTTACAATTATATTCTTTCTTTTGCAATCTTAATTGGGCACCTTTAAAGTTAATATCTATTTTCTCAGGATTTACATTCATATTAGAATTGTTATTAGCTACATTTGGAGCAAGTATCGGAGGAGGTATACAGGGCTGAGAACTTATCGATGTAGTTTGTTCAATAGTTGGTTGCGTACTTGCTGTACTTGGATTTAAGATCGAATTCAACTGCTTTAAAGTCGAGTCCAATTGCTTCAAGATTAACTTCAATTGCGGCAATGATTGCGCATCTTGTGAGTTAACATCCGTGTTCTCAAGATCTACATTTCCACCATAATTATCATCCGTATTAGAATAGCTATCCGTATTAGAATCATTATTAGTTGAGCTTGGAGCAAATACTGCAGGAGGCATACAAAGCTGAGAAATTGTCGATGTAGTTTGTTCAACAGTTGGTTGCGTATTTGCTGTACTTGGATTTACGATCGAATTCAACTGCTTTAAAATCGAGTCCAATTGCTTTAAGATTAACTTTGATTGCGGCAATGATTGTTGCGCATCTTGTGAGTTAACATTTATGTTTTCAAGATTTACATTTCCACCATAATTATTATCCGTATCAGAATTGCTATTCGTATCAAAATTATTATCAGTTGAGCTACTTGGAGTAGGTACTGCAGGAGGCATACAAGGGAGAGAAGTTATCGGTGTAATTTGTTCAACAACTGAATTAACATCCATGTTTTCAAGATTTACTTTTCCATCATACATGTCATCCATAATGCCATCATAAATGTCATCTATTTTATAATAAATGTCATCCAAATCATAATAGCTATCCATATCAGAATCATTATTAGTTGAGCATGGAGCAGGTACTGCAGGCGGCATACAAGGGTGAGAAATTATCGGTGTAGTTTGTTCAACAACAGCTGGCAAATTAACATCTATATTTTCAAAATTTACGTCTCCACCATACATGTCGACCGTATCAAAATTGTCATCTGTATCAGAACTGTCATCCGTACTTTGCTTCAATGGAGGTGAATTTGATGCTTGTTGCTGCTGTGCTTGTATGATCTGTTGGTTTATTTGTTGTTTATTGTATTGCACAGTCTCTTCTACGATCTGTACGTTTATTTGTTCTTGCGGTTGGTTATCTTGCAAGACAAGTTCGGTATCTGATATGATTTCAAAACTTCCATTATTAGAATTGTCCGTATCAGAATCATTACTAGCTGAGCTTGGAACAGGTACTGCAGAAGGCGTACAAGACTGGGAAGTCATCGGTATAGTTTGCTCAGTAGCCGGCTGTGTAGTTGTTGTACTTAGCTCCAGTTGTTGCAGCAATGAAGGTGAATTTGATCGACTCAGCAGTTGATTTACTTGTTGTATAATACGATCTATTGATTTAGTGATTGTTCTGACCACTCTCAGTAATTACTGCTTCATAGTTGTTATTGTAAATGCAACTGTTCTGGCTGCTGCTTTTATAGTTGTAACTTCTGCTGCTGTCCTTGTTGTACTGTAATAATTGTTTTAAAATTATTTTAGTTATTGTGTGTATGCTATATTATAGTTATAATACAGAACTGTGTTAATGTAGTTGCTAATATCTACGTTTGATTTTATAATTGTTATCAATCTTTATGAGTTCTTACATTGTTTCATTCACAATTACTTTATTGAATCGAAGTAGATTGCGATGCTTGATGACTTCTTTATTGTGTATGTATTATATTGTGAAACAATTAAGGATAGGATCTCACAACTTTATTTAGAAATAATTCTTAATAGATCTTATTTTCTAATATTGTAATAAACATCCTTAAAAATAAAAAAGTTTTATAATTATTCGCGGTCTTGTTATAAATTATATGCGAGCTGATTTGTAAAATAAAGTCCCTTTAATTTGTCGCGCGTTAAAAACCTTTGATACGCGGAAATATTTCGACAGCTTCAAAGATTCTTGACATAAGTGGCCAATCACTCTTTAGCATATTACTCTTTCTCGATAGCGTTAATTCTCAAACAATCACGAACTATCACAAAAACGATTAAAAACAATAATAATTACAAACGAACTCTCAAATTCTAAATATATAAATAAAAATAGGTTAGTGAGAGTTAACGCGACTAAATAGTGCAAATTATTAGCTAGAATAATTTTAATACTCTGTAGTTATCTTTATTTGAACGATTCAACTATCTTTGGAGTCCTTCTCAGAAATGTAGATACTTATAAAAGTAGAGAAAGCTCACATATCTATAATGATGAAGTCACTTACAAATTGACAAAGATAAAGCGTTATAGAAAGAGAAGCGTATATACAGATTGCACATGTTAAGATAACGTCTTTAATTTCGTTGTTGAATATATATATATATCTGAATTTTTGATATTACAATCTGTATTTAATTTCGTTGTTAAATATATAATAAAGCTCCATGATACGTTTCTCTGTCTATAATAATAACGCTTTATCTTTATCAATTTGTTACTTGATCATTATGGATTTGTGAGCTACCTATACTTTTGTATCTATGTATACATTGTTGAGGAGGACTCCAAAGAGAGTTGAACCGTTCAAATAAAGAAGACATCATTCTAACAGAACATTCTACAGAATAAAATTATTCCCTAATAATTTGCATAATAATTCGTTTAGCCGCGCTGACTCTCATGTTAATCTACTTTTATTTATTTGTATGTTATTTAAAAATCATTAAGTCAGCCACCAGGTCAGCCATCGATTATGTATCTTTTTTATATATGTACATGTATACATACATGAAGTTTTTACTTTTCACGTTTTCGTTCAAGAGAAAAAAGTTACATGATCGATCAGGAAGGGTTTGGCGAATACAAGTTCGGAGAGCGGAAAGGACAATATTCAAATAAAATTCATAGTATTTAAAAATAATAAAAATAAATATTTTCACAAATTGAATTCGTCACAATACAATATAATAAGTAATATTTACGGCACACGATTGGAAGGAATGTGGTAGCTCGGTAATCTAATTAAATGTCTCATTAAGGATGTAGGGAAGACGCGACTAATAGATTCATTTTTTAGTTTCGAATTTTTATAAATAAAATTAAGAGACTTATCGAAAAAATGAATTCTACATCACACTATCAGATGCCAAATCTATAAGTATATTAATAAATAGAGATACCACATCCAAGGAAACCATGTGGTATCTCTATTTATTAATATACCTATAGATTTGGCATCTGATTGTAAGGTGGGATGCTATATCCAAGAAGACTAAAATTCCTTTGGACGAGTTTTTGATTGCCTTTCGGATGGTTCTAAATTCGACGGTTTTTATTTTTAATAAAAAAATATACAAGCTGATATTTGGGATCCCCATGGGTTCACCTTTGTCACCTGTTGTTGCAAATATTGTTATGCAGGACTTTGAAAAAATGGCTATTGGCCAATGCTGCCTTGTCGACTGCTATTTTATTATCAATACATTGATGATATTATCTTAGCCGCTCTGAGAGTGTTTGTGATATTTTGGATATTTTTAATTCGTTACATGCTAAATTGCAGTTCACCATGGAGATTGGCCTTGATGGAAAAATAAGTTTTTTAGATATGATGTTGATTATTGAAGAACGGAATCTCATTTTTGATATATACCATAAAGCAACCTTTTCCGGCAGATTTCTTAATTTCCATTCACACCATCTACTTTGTCATAAAAGAGGTGTATTTATGGAGTCGTGGATAAGATTTTTTGTTTGTGTCATCCGAAATTCCAACAAAATAATTTGATTGACGCTATTAAGATTTTTTTACAGAATGGGTATCCGTTTTATTTTTTCGACTCTTTATAATAGAATCAAATATCACATTAATAAGATTAATAATTTGAATAAGAATAAAGATGACACTGAGAAGAAGTTTTTTACGATTCCATATGTTAATACGATATCCGAAAGATTTATACCTATTGTTAATATGTTTAATTGTAAATTGGCTTTTACTATTCCTAACACATTAAGAAGTTTCATAAGGAGAGGAAAGGATGATTTAGAACATGTGATTTAGAACACGTTCAGAATCAAAATGTGGTCTACAGAATATCTTGCGAAGATTGTGATGCCAGTTACGTTGGCCAAACTAAAAGACAATTAAAGATCAGATTGCATGTTTGAACATGTTTCTGATATCAATATAAGTTCAAAATCTCCATCAGTGATTTCTAACCATCGTATTGAGGAGAATCATAACTTTAAATGGGATAAAGTGGAAATATTAGATGTAGAGCCTTCATAAATAAATAAAAGGTTGATAACTGAAATGGTCCATATTAAAAAACAGAAGCATGGGATTAATAGACAAAATGACACGGAGTCTTTGCCGGATTTGTATTCTGACATTATACATTCTCTTTCTCCT